TGTGAGACAATTCTGACTTTTTATCCTGTTAGCTGGGTCAAGTACAGCCAGTTAAAATTAGTACACCTTCCTATGGTGGTAGAAGATCACATAGTCTGCTCTCACTCTCTTGCGGTTCTTAAGAGGGGAAGTGTGCTATGCCCTCCAGGAACCATGTCTGTCCCTTACCACTGGGGGAAGGCCAGTGGTATCTAAACAATAAAGACCTGGGACACTCATACACATCCTTTAGTTCACACGCATCCACCAACAAAGAATAACTAGAATGAAAAACTGGTGACATTGAGCATCCTGCTCCCCAGCTTTCTCTCCACTCCTTTCTTTGTAGTGGATTATTTAACAGGGGATTTGAGGCTTAATGCTTAAACTTCCAAAGCTTGCCCAAGCCTTCCCTCCTCCTGGGAAACCATGGAATCTTGCATCTTTCCTTTAGCTAGCAGATCCCATCTTTAAGGCATGTCTCTTTATTGCAAGCTTGCTGGGCGAGTTGTTCTTCCTAACTTTTCAGAAGTCTTCTGCCAGTCTTCATTTATGACTATAATCTAGAGTATGTACTGTAGTTCTAGGAAAGGAAAAGCCTGCTTGCTCACTGCTGGATAGCCAGTATCCAAAAGCATGCTTGGACTAGAGAAAGAGCTAAGGCACCTGTTGATAAAATGGGGGGTTATCATGTTCCACTCCAACATTTCTCCTAAGACTAAAGTTCTCGAGAGTTGAATGCAGCTTAATAAATATGTCATATAGCTAAATAACTCAATAAGTAAATATAAGAATATAAATATAAATGTAAATACCCAAGTGAAAAATATCATCACAATATATTAAACACATAACGATAACCATTCAGGCTGTGGAAATCTTAAGCAACATTTCATCCATTGTAATTTTTAGCTATTCAAAGGATCTTGTCACAAGTATGTACCAGTGTTTTACATTTCCTTATCTACAAAGAGACAGAAAGAAAACCACTAAAGTGAACATTCGCATGTTAATGGCTCATCTGGAGAGCACATGAAGAAAATGCATGAAGACAGGTGCACCATTAGCTGAGCCTGAGCTAATTCACTGCCCCAAAATGCAGGCTGCAGATCCAGCAATGCAGCGAAACTCCACGGAAAGACTCAGTGAAGACTATGACAAATAAGTTTGGCAATATTTAAAGAAAGCAGAATGAGGGAAGTAGCATTGAACATGAAGTGTGTCGCAGACTAGTGTTTATGGGGCTGCAGTCAGGACCAGCCAATCAGGCCCAGATCCGCTCCTGAGTAGGGGTATGTGGATGAGGGAAAGGCTAGCTACAGATGTTAAAGGAAAGACGGAGACATAGGATAGTGTCAGGAGGGCAGTTTCAGTCCATCGTGAATGCACCTCTATTTATTCATTATCTTAAGTAACCAACCAAAGGTGGGGACAATGGCAGAAGATTTCTATTATCATGTATAAAGGGCAAATAGCAATCACTTCCCTTAATCCTAAAGTCACTCTGTAGATGCATATACTTCTTGGCCATCAGGTGCTTCATAGCTGCATGTATCACCTAGTCTTCAGGATGAGTATAAACTTGCCTGGACCCAAATCTATTGTTATTTAGATAGGAGCCATTCACCACCTAGGCCAGGGCATCCTGTAGCTGTTAAGCTAATGTCTTAAGGACAATAGAAGTGAGTTGAAGTCTATGAACTCGTGGCAGGATGGAATGGATTTCCATATACAGGTCCCAACACAAGTGTTAAAGGAAATTTAACTTTACAGCTAGCATATCTAATGAGCTACATCCTTGGCTATTTTCTTTTCTTTTTTATATCTCTCCATAGTACTCCAGAAAGGCATAGCATTTCATAATCCCTTATCCTTCTTTTCTTTGGACTCTTTGAAATAAACCTCACATTATAATTAATGTTTCCTGTATGTCAGTCTCAAATACCCTCCTAAGGATTTTTCACTATCTCATTTAATTCTTACAAGAACCTTCAAAGATAAGTTCCATGATTACATCATTTTCACACTAGGAAATTCAGTTCAGAAAACTGAAGGACCTGACTGAGATCACACAGTTTAAGTGAGTCAGAGCCCTTGTCAGTTGTGAGTAGTCACACATTTTTTAAATATCTATGAATTCATTCAACATTTGAGTAAATATTCACCAAGCACCGGTAACGACCCAGGCTGTATGAAGGCTTTGGAAGAAAAGTGGAAAGCATTCGGACACTCTATAATCCTTCCCTGGAAGCTCATTTTCTATTGCACCAGGTAGGTATTAATCAGTATCATAATCATAAACACAAATTTACAAACTAAACTAAGCTGTCAGAGGCTCTGAGGATCTGTAATAAAGACTGTGGCACCCTGTGACTAGAGCCAGGAAGGAATCCTCTGAGGGTGCCTGCTGATAGGACCTGAAGGACAAATAAGAGATCATTTGGAATACAGATCTGTACCAAAGAGCAACAGGAGGCATTCTAGAAAGGAAGGCCAGGGTGTACAACGGCCATGCTGGGAAGGAGCCATACACAGTCAGCAACCTCAAAAGGACAGTGAGGGTAAAGAAAGTCCAGGGAAAGAAAAGAAGACATAAGAGGGCAGGCTTACTTTGAGGTCCCCTAGATGAGAAAAAGGCTGGGTTCAAGCCATCTAATCTAAAAGTGATTTCAGAGAGCTCAATTGGGGCATGAGAAAAGTGAGAGAGGGGGAGAGGGCCAATAGAGGAAGAGTGATGAGTGGATTTCACCAGGGACAGTTAGAGTCCAATCCTGCCTTCAACTCTAAGAAACTATGAAGGGCACAGTTCAGATACCTGGGTCTGAGATGGGCAAGAGGCTCATGGAGTCACCTGCCAAATGCCCTTTGGCTTTTCTAGTTTAGAACAGACTTGTCCCGAGACACCACACCAGCCCCTTTTTTCCTATGTCTGAGTCCAGGTTCCCATTATAGATAGGTGGAGGGTGTGTTCATATAATGTGGAAAAGGAGATTAGACACAGCTGGGGCACCAGAAACTAGGAGAATGGCCAGCTAAAAACCATCCACGGAGGTGGAATGGGAGCTACAGATGAAATGGTACATGCATGGGTCACCACTCTGTAGTCCAGTCCATCAGAGTCCACTTTCAAGAAGTATACTGTAAGACAAAAATCACTAAGAAATTCAAAACAGCTCAGGCAGTGCATTCAACCCCAAGTTCCCCCGTGCAGCATGTGGTTCTGTGTGTCTGTCAGCACTAGTCATAAATGCACAAAATCCATCTGTCTAGAGTAGAGAAAATGGTCCCCTAGGCTAGTTGAAGATAAGCAGGGTCAACCATGGGAGTGAAATTTCTCAGGTAAAACTAATTTGGCATGGCATTTGGTTAGATGTGGCATGGCCAAGTAGAATGGGGTAAACTGGTAAAACTATGGTAGAGGAAGGCTGTGTGGCAGTGGGGGTATGATGTGTGGATTTCCCTTCACAAAGAAAAGGAAAAGAAACTTGGCATTCAGCTGCAGAAGTAGCTAGCTGACAGTCCACCCTTAGCACCTATGGGGTTTGCATCAGCCTCCATGTCTTTGCCAATACCTTATTAGGGCTACATGGTAGTCGGACTCTCCTGCCTACACATCATTGCTTCATCTCCAGTTTATTTCTATAGGTGAAGAAGCTGTGTGTGTCCCTGGAAACATTCCTCACCCAACCTTGTTCCTTCTCTGTGGTCATTATTCCTGCCTTTACCTCCATCTCAGCACCTTCTTCCTGGAGTATCTGACTGACACACACTGTCACACACTGGCATCTACCTGGACAGTGCAGAAGAGTGAATCATTAATCAGTAACATTAACCAATAAATACTACTGAATAGTTTTTTTTTCTTAACTAGATTCATTCTTGTATGTTTTTATGAGGGGAGATGTGTGCCATGGCATATATGTGTAGGTTAGAGGATGACTTTGGGAGCAGGTTCTCTCTTTCCACCACGTGGGTCCCAGGTCCCAGTACCTTTATACCCACTAAGCTCTCTCACCAGGCCTGAAGTGTCTTTTTTTATTTTAGTTTTACAGTGTAGTACTCTTGTTTAATAAAGAATGGAGATTCTCAGGCAGGAAGGATGTGGCTCAGAAACATGCAAACTACTTTTCAAGGGACCTTAAAAATATGTTTTACTTGAAATGAGGTTTACGTAGCCAAGGCTAGCCTTGAACTTGCTATGTACCATAGGATGGCCTTAAGTTTCTGCTGCTCTTAGCCTCTGTCCCTAAGTTCTGGGACTACACATATGCACAGCCCACTGGTTTATATGGTTCTGGAAACCAAGCATAGAACTTCATATAAAGCAGTCAATCAAGTGAGTCCCATGACTAGTCCCAAGAATTCTTTACAGAAGATAAAGTCCTCCAGATGTGGAAGCAAACCACACCCTAACGATGACACAGAAAGTTCCCTCTACCATCCTTGATGTTGTTTTCAAGCCATGTGTGTGCGTACATGCACACATGCATCTGTCTGTCTGTCTGTCTTTGTCTCTCTGTGCCTTTAATATCTCTGTGTGTGTATCTGTCTGTGTGTCTCTGTCTCTGTCTTTGTGGGGGGGGCATTGCATATGAGCTTCCAGGTGTATGCACACACACACACACACACAGAGAGAGAGAGAGAGAGAGAGAGAGAGAGAGAGAGAGAGAGAGAGAGAGCTGGGAGAGAGGAGGAGGGAAAAAGAAAGAATTACAAAACTTCAGATCTCTATAAAAGTTAGTCTCATATGCCCTTAAGAAACCTATCTTGATATTCAGAAGGTCTAAAACAGACCCCATTTTTATATTCAAGATATGATTAGATCTGGTTTTTCTTTCAACAAGTCCCTAGAGATTGGGTACAAGCTCTGCCTTGGCGGGAGCCTGCAAAACAGGCCTTACTCTGCTCCCTAGTACCTTCTCCCACAAGGGCTGGCTGCCCTAATTTGGAAAGCTGTTCCCAAGACTTGCCTGTTTAATCTGAGTGTGACATCAAAGGAGTAGTGCCCCATCTGTCGATTCTCACTTTTATGTTTGTTCTTTATTGCAGCCATTCACAAATAGAGGCTTATGGAATTAATAAACTCCAAAAGGGAGCATCATTAACTATATCTCTGCCAGGTGTTCGGTTGGAACAAAGAGGATTGTGAGGTCCAATGCAGAGCTTTGGGGACTGAGAAAGCTGAGCTGCTTTGGAGAGAGGCCTCATCCCACTACTGACAATTCCATAATTGTCCCTCTTGGAGAGTCTAGATGCCACTGGAGAATTGGGATGTGCACTTGACTGTTCTGTACATGGAAGACTGGAGCATCCTGATGACTCTTGCTAGGTGACAGCAATTCCTACTGGAAATGAAAAGCAGGCAGTTAATTAATTCCCTCTTTTCACTCAATACGCCTTCTCCCAACTCTAGCCCCACATTCACCTTGCCCAACAGATACACAACAAGACATTTGCTGAACAATTCTAAGTCACCAAAGCTACTCACAAGAGGTCACCATGATGAAAAGCAAAGCAAAAGGTCACCAGGAACTGGGATATTGAGTTGAAGATGATAGTCTCACCATTATTTTCAAGCAAGTGTTTTTCAAATGAATGAATTTTGGAATTTGCAGAATCCCTGGAGGGGGATGGCCCAAGGGTCTACTGATGGGACCAATTGATGATGGGACCTGAGAGAAGCCACAGCATGACATTAATGGCACAGAACTCTCAGCTGTTCCTGCCTAGTCACTTTAGGCACTCTCTTGTCACATCATGGTTCCTCTACTAAATCACTCCCTAACACCAAGCCTGGAACCAACCTGTTCATAAAGCCTTCTCCATGTACTATGCTAATATTTAGGAGAGCAGAATCATACACAAATAAGAACAGACTACTCTAGCAACAGTGGCAGAAGAGAACTCAAAACAACAAGAGCAATAGCTTTCATCTTCAGTTCAGCAAGCATTTACCACTCACCTAAAATACCTAAGCACCAAGTGGAGGGGTGGGGAGGGAAGGGAGAAGAAATGAGAGGAAGGGGAAGGTAAGAGAGAGGAGAAGAGGAGATGAAGGGGAGGAGAAAATAGAGAGAGGAGAGGAGAGGAGGGGAGAGAGAGGAGGGGAGGGGAGAGGAGAGGAGGGGAGAGAAGAGGAGAGGAGGGGAGGGGAGAGGAGAGGAGAGGAGAGGAGGAGAGGGGAGAGGAGAGGAGAGGAGAGGAAGGGAGGGGAGGAGAGGGGAGAGGAGGGGAGAGGAGAGGAGGGAAGGGGAGAGGAGGGAAGGGAAGGGGAGAGGAGAGTGGAGGGGATATTTGAAATGGATGCATATGGCTCTCACCACCTAGGGGCTAACACCTAACAGAAATGGTGTGACCATTCTCTCTAATAACAGAGATGTTGCTCAAATTGAATCTAACAAGGTTAAACGTGACCCAGAACTCACTGATTTCTTAACACCAGCCAGCCCTTAAGAGGAAGTTGACTTCAGAAGTCAACCACAGACACAAAGAAATGTGTCAACGGCAGACGCAAGGTGATTCCTGCTGTTTACGTTTATTACTATTTTGGTCCCTGACTGTTCTACACGGCATTCTGTTTCTTGGAGTTGTTCAGTCCTGACTACAAACAGCATCTGTCAGCCACATGCCTCTCTGGATCCTCAGCAACAAAGCTTGAGGCTGCTTGTATGTGGCTGCCAAGGCTGCCTCCGGTCCTTGGAGCTACATTTTTCTGTTTTACCCACTCTGGTTACTGCCCATGGCTGGTACCAAATGAGTCTTGTCACTTGGCAGCAAGGAACCTGGATAGAGCTGGCTCTCTCGATCTAAGCTAGGGACCACCCTGAATCATTGAAGGAGACACATAGGAGAGGAAGGATTGATCTCTCCCCAGCTTTCCTATGGTTAGTCAAACCCCCAACTATGTTTAAGCAACTAAGAAAGCCTGACACATGTGTCATCATGGCTTTTAATAGTGCATTCACATTTGACAAAGACAGTGAGTCCAGTGTCTGGTTTATAGGAAGTGAGTCTTCATGTTCTCTCCACTGATGTTTGCCCTCCAACTTGGGTTGTGTAATGAATAATTAGAGTTTTCAGGGGCCTTTTCATAGATACCGGGACAGCCCCTTAGCTTGTACATGCTAAGGCTCTGTGCTGAACCAACAGTGCCAGAATCGGAGCCCATTTCTGATTTTAGCCAAAGGGTGTTCCCAACCGAAAACTAAGGAGGTACACGTAAGCACTGTATCCCTGTTCACTTTTACGGTTATCAGTCTGGTAACAAAAAGATGAGTATTAGTATTTCGACATCTGTACGGCCCTGTCCTTGGAGTTCTGACAGGATATGTCCTCAGCTGCAGCCACTAAGAGCACCACCTGTGCACATTCCCTACATTCCCTTATTCCCTTATAAAAGGGACCTGCCCACCTCCTCTGTCTGTCTGTCTGTCTCTCTCTCTCTCTCTCTCTCTCTCTCTCTCTCTCTCTCTCTCTCTCTCTCTCTCTCTCTCTCTTCATCTCTCTCTCTCCATCTCTCTCTCTCTCTCTCCTCTGTCTCTCCTCCTCTCCCCCTCTCTCTTCTCTTCTGCTCTTATCCCCAGAGGCTGGTCTCCCTTCTCCCCTCCCTCTTTTCCCATTTACTTTCCCCCAATTAAAAAAACAAAAAACCAAAAACAACCCTTCCACCCTTCCACCCAAGCTCTGTTGCATGGTGTCTTTCTCTCATGTGCCACTTTTTAAAATTACATCAATGAACCTTGTCTATCCATACAGATTTCAGGTGCCAGGATCTCCAGTATATTTTCTGTCAAACTGTGAGCTATGACTTGCCTGCTTAAAATCAGAGAGAGTCCCAAGAACTCAAGCTTCCCAAGTAAGCAGTAGTTCGGGCAATGGAGGGCACTGCAGCATTTGGCCACAGCAGTTCGCCACAGCAACCCTCTGCATTTAGAGAAACACCAGTTTAAGAATGCCATGCTCTTTTTGTCCTCACACATATCCACAAGACAACTGTGGTCCACCAAAGGAGCCCCTGGTCCTCACCACACTGGCTGAGAATGTGAAGGATGCCCTTGGGATCCTAAAAGAGACTAGACCAAAGCCTGATCTCCAACCCCATGTGTCAAGCAAGTAGACACAGATAACCCAGGAGAGAGAGTGCTGCAGAGCAGATCCTCCTCTGTGCTTTTAGAGTCCCTCATTTCCTGAGTCAGACTCCAAGAGAAGCTAGGTATCAGTAGATCTAAGATTTCACAGGAAGAACTGGCTGGTGCTGTGCCCTTCGTGTCCCTACAGCCTTGTACCCTACCCACAAGCATCTGGGTAGGGCAGCCACCAATGGGATCCCTAGGCTGCCAGCTTCCCTAAGCCCCTTGTGGTTTTGACCACACACACCCAATTTTCTTGAAGCTTCCTTAATGCTTCTGGATTTCTGCTTTAATATCGAGTAAATAAATAATATGAATTTATTTACTGATTTACTTGAGAAATAAATATTCTCCATTGTGCAGGGTTGTTTGTAGCTCTCATATTCCAGGCACCATGCTTGATCCTGAAGATGATGGGATGGCATTTCTGGGGTTTACCATCTAATCTGGGAGCAAATTATAGACAAATAATTAAACAACCTCACTTTAAGAGGTCCTATGTGTGAGGGTGTGCTTGCCAACATTTCGGGGCTGACTGAGCCAGAGTGGTGGGGGCAGTTATTCATTAAGTATTCCTCCAGAAAAGTCCATAGGCTAAGTGCATCTCACTTCCCTTGGTCAATAGGAAAACTGAAGTTTACACCACAGATGGCTTAGCTCAGTCATGAACCTGAGTCTAACTGCAACTTCCAAATAGCAAGGGAAGCAAGAAAGTGAAAAAGAAAGACAAGATGTCAAATTTTCATGCCAGAGAATTTGCTGTCTCAATTGCTCAACTTCAGCACATCTTTCCCCATTCGGAAATGCTTATAGTCACAGAAGAGGTGTTCTAAGACCATGGCACTAGCTCCTGGCACATGGAATCCAGCCTTTCAGGGTACTCCTCTAGTCTATACGCTCCTGTTCTCTCTAAAGCACTCATACCAGCTCACCCAGGACATGGAACTGGATCTCAAGGGAATTCTTCAGCTTCCCAGATGATGGATGACTATGAGGAGCTGCGTTGTGGTACCCAAGATTCCCTCCTGGATACTCAGTGAAAACAAACAATGTGTCTTCCCACCCATACACCTTTACAAACACCCACATAAAAACACAAACACACAAACACACACACACACACCCACACACGCACGCACGCACGCACGCACGCACGCACGCACGCACGCACGCACATCCAAATACATCTCTTGGCTGTTATCTTAAACCTTACTTCTATCCCCTATTTCTAGGAAGATTATTCTTTTCTTTTTTTTTTAGACATCAATCTTTTATTTTAGAATATTTTTATTCTTTTATTTCAGATTCATAGAAAAATTGAAAAGATAGTAAATCAATTTCCATGTGTTCCACAGTTTCCCATTATTAACATTTCACATTAATGTGGTCTAGTTTACATTTGATAAACCCATATCCATACATTGTTCTTTTTTTCCAAATTTTTTATTTGAATTAGAAACAGGTTTGTTTTACATGACATTTCCAGTTCCCTTTTCCCGCCCCTCCTCCCCTACTGCCCCCCCAACTAAAACCCTACCTATCACATATCCTTTCTGCTCCCCTGGTGGGTGAGGCCTTCCATAGGTTGTCATCAGTGTCTATTGTATCCTTTGGGATAGGGCCTAGGCCCACCCCCATGTGTCTTGGCTTAGGAAGTATTCCTCCACATGGAATGGGCTCCCAAATTCCACACCTATGCTAGGGATAAGTATTGAACTTCTACAGAGGTCCCAGGGATTTCTGAGGTTTCCTCACAGAAACCCATGTTCCTGGGTCTGGATCAGTCCCATGCTGGTATTCCAGCTATCAAACTGGGGAGCAAGAGTTCCTGGATATTCAGGTCAGCTGTTTCTGTGGGTTTCACCAGCCTGGTCTAGACCCCTGTGCTCTTCACTCATCCTTTGCATCTGGGTTCCAGTTCAGTTCAGTGATTAGTTGTGGGTGTCTGCTTCTACTTCCACCAGTTGCTGGATGAAGGCTATAGGATGGCATATAAGTCAGCCATCAATCTCATAATCAGGGGAGGGCATTTAAGGTAGCCTGTCCTCTGTTGCTTGTGATTGTTTCAGTTGGTGTCATCTTTGTAGATTATTCTTACATTGGTAGCCCTGGGTGGAGTCTCTTATATACACTTAAATTGTAAATTTCTCCACCACAGATAACATACCACCTGGAGATGACTTGGGAGAGTAATTTGTTTTCAATGTCTACCTTCC